AAATATAAATATAAAATTAAAATACAACAGTACAGTATAAAATAAGCCGCCCTGGCCAGATAAAACCAATAATGTTAACAGTTAAAATGCCGCTTGAATAAAAAGGTCTTCGCCTGGCGCCGAAAAACAAATAACGACGGCGCCAGGCGGACCTCTCTGGGGAGCGCATTCCATAACTTAGGCGCCACCACAGAGAAAGCCCTCCTCCAAGTACCCACCCTCCTAATTTCTTTCATGGAGGGTTCCCGGAGAAGGGCCTCCCCCGCCGATCTCAAGGGGCGGCTGGGCATATATGGATGCAAGCGCTCCTTCATTATATGAATTACCTAGGAACAGAGCAAGTCAGAAGGGGCCTCCCGGGCCATCTAGTCTGACCCCCGGCTCCAGCCGGCTCCGCTCACGACATGCCCACCATGTGGACGTCCAGCCTGTCCTTGAACACCCGCACCGATGGGGCCTCAACCACCTCCTGTGAAAGCCCATTCCACACCCTCAGGGTCCTGACTGTCAGGAAGTGCTTCCTGGCATCCAAATTGAGCCTTGGTTCCCCGAGCTTGGCTCTGTTGGAGGGCATCCTGCCTTCCTCTGCAGGGGAGAACAGCTCTCTACCAATGCTTAAGGAATAGGAAGGATATCAGAGGATGATTTAAATACGAAGTCGGATGGTATACATTTCATATGTAATTATGCCAAAGCGGCATTGTATCCATTTTAGACTATTATGCATCCTCAAGGAAACAACTCTTCCACGTTTAGACAGAGGAGTGTCCCACCACTCCCAGTATACTCCAGCAAGCATAACTGGGCTCTGTAGGACCGTTTTCTTCCTACACATGCGCAGGATCGCACCCTTAAGCATGTGCAGTAGTCTGTGGGAAAGTCTAAACATGCACATTAAGTATCTCCTGCAGGTGGTGGGGGTGAGGAAAAGAATATTAATAGTAACGGCCAGATGAGGAAAGAAGGACACCCAGTACAGGAATGCCTTTTGCTGCCAGTTCCTTCCTTTTCAGCCACCCTTTTTAGAAGAGGGCAACTGATGCCAAGTACAGAAACAGGAAGGTAGGAAGAATTTGATAGGTGTGTGGGAAGCCTTATCAGGTGGGGACGGAGACCAAAAGGTCCGTCACACCTTGGCCAAAGGCATCCCAGCTGGAGAACCGGAGAAACAAGAGAGGCAATGCGTGAAGGGCTGGCTGGGAATCCGGAGCCTGTCCTTCGTTCCACATGAAGGACCCCATGGGACCCTTGCACGTTACTGATGGGTCCAGACACTCCCATCCTGAGATAACAAGCCCCAGCTGGTTATTTCCAGACTGGCAGAAAACTGCCCAGGCTCCGGGTCCCCTTCAGCCCCATATAGTACCGCACGTGGTCAAAACAGCAAGCCCCGAGGGCAGGGGAATCGGTGCCTCCTTTGTGGAGTGCTCTGCCTCGTGTGCCAGGCCTTTGGCGCTTTCAAAGGGTGACGTGGCTCGCCCTCTCGGCCAGCAGCACAAACTCGCATGTCCAGCTTCCCTCGTTCCTTGAACTGTGAGATCACGGCTGTTCTGCCAACGTCACACAGCCCCCGTGTGGCTTTCCCCCAGCCCTTCCTCTTCATCCTTTGCTCCTCTCTTGGCTTGTTCTCTCCTGATTTTGCAGAGCCTGCTCCGAGATCACTTCTGTCTTTCTGGCTCAGCTCTCCTCGCTAGCCGGCCTGCGTGATTTCTATTCCCAGGCCATAAGAAAAGAAGCAGAGCCCCACGGGATCGAACCCAAGGTCCATCCAGTCCGGCACTCCACACACACGGTGGCAGCCCAGCTGCCCCAGGAGCCCTCCAGCAGGGCGGGTGCCAGACCCCCACCTGCCCAGCCCCTCAGCAACCGGTGTCTGCAGGCAGGCCAAAGGAGGTAGCCCATGTCCAGCGAGGCTAGTAGCCACCGGTAGCCTCCTCCTCTGTGAATCTGGCCAACCCTTCTTGGAGCCACTCAGATCGGTGGCCATCTGCACTTCCCGTGGCAGCAAATTCCACAGTTTAACTGTACACTGTGCGTGGAAGGACTTCCTTTTATCTGTCCGAAACCAAACCAACCTTTCATGGAACTGCAGCAGCTACACTTTTCCTGTGCTCCACTGAGGATTGCCCTCCTCCTCCTTGGCCACGTCCCCAGCAGCAGAAACACTCACGGACCTTTAACGGTGCCAGGGAACAAGTCTAACAGGTTGACGGGCAGGCGGGTGAACCCCAGGCCCATATCCTGGCACAGGCTGGTTTGCATCTGCTTTGCATGAAAGCAAGGGCTTTGCTTGCCAAGGGTCTCCTCCATGTGATTTTGGGGTGTCTCCTCCACCCTTCAGCTCATCCCATTCAAGAGGGTCTCTTGAGTCTTTGTGTAGGGTTTTCAGGAGGCTATGGCAGGAAGGAGGAGATGGGGAGAGCCCTTCTCTTCATCCAGATTCAACCACAGAGTCAAAGCAGGTCTGGAGAATGATGGAGCCATGTGCTGAGGTAACCTTGCAGAACCTGGTACCCACCAGATGTCTTGGATTACAGCTCGTATCCTCCCCAGAGAGTGTGGTCAATCTGCTAAGAGCTCTGGGTGATAACTCATTTGGGTGTCTTTCCTTCAGGATGGAGTTGAGCTACGGCCAAACAAGAAAATTGGAATTGTTTCCCGAGGGACTAAGAGAGCCCTCACAATCCACAAATGTGAAGACGAAGACCAAGGAAAATATGTGTGTGATGCCATTGATGACAAGAGCTCAGCTAACCTGGAGGTCCACGGTATGCTGTAAAAAAATCCTTTGCTTTCTAGACAGCTGTGCAGGAAATGAGGCCCAGACACTGAGTCCATTCCAAGGGTGCATTAATGGCTCCTCCCACTGCAGCGCTAAGTGATGCCTTGCACACAACAACGTCCACAGTTCGAACCTTTGCATGGCACAACACTAGAGCAAGCGCCGTACTTTTTCTAGAGTGTGTTCACAGTTCAGGTGAGCATCACCAGGTGATGAAAAATCAACAGCTACGGAGCCTTTGCTTGCTTCCCCCAAAATAAAATTCTCTGCATTCATTCTGTGGTGCTTACTCTCCATTGAGCATTTCCTGCTCCCGAAATTTCTTCCTTCCTATTCCCCATTTCCTTCATCTTCATAGCTAAAAGGGAAGAAAAAGTGGCCGGACAGAGGAGGGAGTCAAAGGAACTGGTCTAGTCTCAGTGTAACTTATTCAGAAAGCCAGAAAGAGCAAGAGTGTTGCAACAAACATGTTTTTAATGACTGTTTAGCCCGAGACATCAAGATCGTGAAGCCGTTGGAAGATGTGGAAGTGAGTGAAAAAGAGAGTGCTTCCTTCCTCTGTGAGATTTCACACGATGATGTCCAGACACAGTGGTACAGCAACGCAAGCAAAATTCGGGCAGGAGAGAATGTCAAACTGCGCCAAGATGGTAGGTAACATTGGGGTGGTGGTGGTGACTGGGTGGAAATGTGCTTGCTAGCTATGGTATTTGGGATAGACACTGGGAAAGGGACCTGGAGGTTGGGGGGTTTTTTTTGGCTGGTCTGTAACCACAGATGGACGGCCTATCCACAGAACACATGTATGACAAACCTGCCAGTTTGGCTTTCTTTTCCACCCAAGAATCCTGGGAATTGTAACTTGATGAGGCCACCGAGTAGTCCAAAAGCTGCTGCAGTTTTCTCTGGACAGATCTGTCCCTAATATCCTTAATTTTAATCTGCCCCATAGCCTGCATTCTCTGGGTGAATTGCAAGCACTTTGCATTTGATGTTCTGAGTTTAGGTTTCAGCTGTGAGCTTGTCTGAGCTCCCGGATGTTCCTCGTTGTTCTTAAATGTGCACAGAGTTCTGCATGGATTTCATCTTTAAAATGAAGACCCATAACTGGGAGGGCTGTTTCTGTTCACAGGAAAGAGTTACACACTAGTCTACCGCAGTGTGGAATTGCAGGATTCTGCAGAGATCAAATTTGTGGCAGAAACGGCAGAATCTCGAGCGCAACTTAAAGTAAAAGGTAAAGGTGCCGCTGTGGTTGAGTGATGGGGCTGGTGTATCCTAAAAGTGTTAATCCCATAGAACAAAAGTGGAAGGCCAGATCACTCATTTTATTTGACCCAAACAGCCTCAGGTCTTGCTTTCATTTAGAGTAACATAATAAGTAAAGGTGGAGTTTTGGACAAGGAAAACCAATTTGTTCTGTTTGCCTGATAAGTGACATGAGAGAAACTATTCTCTTCCAAGCCTTGGAATCTCACTGGAATGACTTACGGGCCCAGTTGCCAAGGTTATTGCATCATGCACATGAATCTCCTTGAACTCCCTGCAGTATGACAAAAGCGCAAATTATCATCATCCATTATTTCTCTGATCGCCTTTAGAACTGCCCGTGAGGATCGTGAAACCTCTCCGGGTGAAGATCGCTATTGAAAAGCACCGGGGTTTTCTAGAATGCCAGGTGTCTCGCCCCAATGCTGTGGTCAGATGGTACAAGGGGGATCAGGAGATCCATCCCAGCACAAAGTATGAGCTTGTGAGCGATGGAGTTTACAGAAAGCTCCTCATCAACGAGACGGAGTTTGAGGATGAAGGCATTTACACCTGCGATGCCATTGATGACAAAAGCAGCGCTCAGTTCTACGTGGAAGGTACCCGGACTTTTCTTGGTTGGACTATGTGGGTGGAGCCCCTCAAAGAGGGTGGCTGCTTCTCTGAGGGCCCAAGGCGGGTGTGGGGGAAATCATGTTGCCATAATGGCCATCCATGGGGGTTCCAAGCACTGGACCGTTTAGGGCACCTCCTCCTGTCTGCCAATGCCCAGCGTGTCTTCCAAGCTTGTGGTGATTCAGGACTTGCCAATGCCTCTAAGCTCAGTGGCTCTCACTCGCTGCAGAACTGGTCTTTTTCCTGATTGAGGAGCTGTGAAAATGCAGGCCAAATATCTATCCTGGTTCAAACTGGATACGCTTGCTGGTTAACAGGCCAGCCCCAATCTGCAGGCCCTCCGAGGTGGTTCTCGATCTGGAATTGGGCTTCTCAGAATGGGGTGCGATGGAAGGTGTCTCTCACAGCTTTCCTTTGCTCCTTCGCGCCTTCTCCTCAGAACAATCCATCAGTATCGTGAAGGAGCTGCGGGATGTGGAGGTCACCGAGCCGGCAGAAGCCAGGTTTGAATGTGAGATCTCCATTCAGTCTGT